CACACACAGTCACACACACAGTCTCTCACACATATTCACACACAGTCACACACACAGTCTCACACACAGTCTCACACACAGTCACACACACAGTCTCACACATATTCACACACAGTCACACACACAGTCTCACACACAGTCTCACACACAGTCACACACACAGTCTCACACACAGTCACACACACAGTCTCACACACAGTCACACACACAGTCACACACACAGTCTCACACACAGTCTCACACACAGTCACACACACAGTCACACACACAGTCTCACACACAGTCTCACACAGTCTCACACACAGTCACACACACAGTCACACACACAGTCTCACACACAGTCACACACACAGTCACACACACAGTCTCACACACAGTCTCACACACAGTCACACACACAGTCACACACACAGTCACACACACAGTCACACACAGTCTCACACACAGTCTCACACACAGTCACACACACAGGGTTGGGTATTGAAAGGGTTGAATTTGATACCGGTGCTAAATCAATGTTTTTAAAACAGTACCGGTTCCTAAACAGTATTTAAATCAGTACTTTAAAAATGAATAAATAAAACACACAGACTCACACAGAGGTTTATGAAGCAATGATTATTTCTGAGTCAAAGTCAAACTTTAAATTGACCAACTTATTAACTTAAAACCATTAATAATTAGTCTTTGCACCAAATATTCTGAAAGTATTTGTTGCAGGTGGAAGTTTCTGCATCTTAATTTGTAAAGTGACACCACACTTTGGACCGTTTGGCTTTCATCATCTCGACTAAAATATATAATTTATAACTGTTAACTGCAGCAGCACCTGTTAGCACCTCAACATGAACTCTGTTCTACTCGATTCACTTTGGGTCGGGTCGGTTCTGCTCAGTGTGCGTGTCTCCACACAGTGTGCCCTCACTCTGTGGTTGTGATAATATGCGTGTTACAACCTGGCTCAGTCAGGAAAAGGGGAGGTAACATTAAAACCAAATGGAAATTGGTTAAAGATGTAAAAGGTGATTTATTGTGACCAGTTAACAAAACAAACAAAACTCTAACAAAAGGAGGGTACTCTAAATATACAAATTGTCCAACAATGCTTTGCAACTTTTAAAACAAAATAAATAACAAAACAAAACAATGCCAACTAAGAATAAGAAATTCTGTTACAAGCTTTAAGCAAACAAAAATAGACTACTTTAAACAGTGAAACAAGGTCATTGGAATGTTAAATAAAATAACTCTAGTAAACAAAAAAACTGAACAAAACCCCCAAGACGACTCTAAAGTCTGCACAAAAAATAAACCCACACTTTGTTCAGGTTACACAAACAGACCAATATCTAACCCACAGGTTATCAAACTAGACCTGGCAGAAACAACAAAGCCAAGGCTAAACAATAAACCCCACAGAGAAGCAGTGCGAACTGTCTGTAGCGGCTTCAACTGTTGTATTAAAAGATAAAATAAAATAAAAAAGCTGTTGTAGCCTTACCGTTCAGACTTCACTTTTTATTTATTTATTTGTTTGTTTATTTATTATCACGGTGCTGTTTAGCTAAGTGCTTGTGTAACCGTGGGCAGACAGTTTGTTGATCTGCTCAGCTTCATCTCCTTCACCTCTCTCCAGGAAGTGTTTACAAGTTCTACCTTTCCCAAAAAGAGAGTTTTATTTCACCATGTTGTCGTATCACGCCACATGCTCGTATTAAACAAAAGCAGCTCTCTCCAGGAGGAAATTTGCTGTCAGTCAATCCAAGAGTTAATCCACGAGCAGAATTCTGCTGACGTTAAAATCATAGCTGCTGTACTCACTTCTACCAGAACCACCGGAAGAGGAGGTTCTGAGACAGCGTGGCTATGGAGCACGCTTGGAGACTGAGCTGAGACCGAGCCGAGTCGAACCGCATCCGTGGAGATTGTGTGTCGAGGCTGTCAGTGTTAACAGTGAACACCAGAGGGCGCAGTTTAACAGCTTTCTTTGAGGCACCGATGTTAGAGTTGTGTTTCGGTCTGTGTACCACCGTGGATGTTCGCCCCGGTGCCATAATGGAACTGAGTTCAGTACCCACCCCTACTCTCACATGCACACACACACACATACACACACACACACATACACACACACACACACACACACACACACACTGATGCTGGTAAGCTACATTGTAGCCACAGCTGCTCTGGAGCAGACTGACAGATGAGTTACCATACACTGGACCCTCTGACCTCCACCAATGTCTAGTGAAGTGTCTTGCCCAAGGACACAACTGAGATGGTTGGAATGGGGGATTGAACCAGCAACTCACAGGTCACAGGATGACTCCTTCATTAGACTAAACAATGAGGTTTAAACACACATTTGTCAGAATCTGGCTCCACGTCCTTCTTTACCTAGCCCAAGTTAAAGCACTGTTCAAGGCTTTGTACAGTCCTAGTTTGAAATAAGAAACAAATGTTTTTTGTTGATTAGACAAATACTGTATTACACCACACAGTCAGGATTTAGGGCTTAGGTGTGTGTCTGTGTGTGACTTAGGGCACAATGGTAACCTAACTCTAACTTCTGATTGAAACATTTCTTCAGAACTTACCAAGAGTAAAATCTATCTGTAAAAATCAGTTTCCACCCTGAAAATCGCTGTTCAGACGTCACAGATAATTGAATTCATGTCTGATGTGAACTGAGTTTTGATTCGTCAACCCAATGATGCGTTTCCTGTAGGACTGCGATGCATTGTGGGAAGATTTCCACAACAAGTTGGTGGACTCAACTCTGTTGAACCTGGATGCATACCTGCAAGAGTTTCCAGATCTCAAGGTGAAAAGATTTATATCTGTTCCAGATGAAAACAGAAATGTGGAATAAAACTGACTGCAATTCATTTCAGATACGTGTCGCCAAAAGAAGTCGTAAACTAATCGACTACGACAGTGCTCGTCATCATTTAGAGACTCTGCAGATGTCTGGGATGAAGAATGACCGCAAAGTGATGAAGGTGAGTCTGCTTCCTTGATGAAGCTCAGAAACTAAGTTTTATTGTCTCTACGTTCACTTTAGACGTGTGTTAAGTTGGGTTTACTTCTTGTATCCTCGTGTCCTGATGCATCTCAATAATCCAAGTAGAAAAATTAAAAAATGTTGAGTAGATCTTCAGGATGACTTCTCCTTTCATATAAAGAAAGACCTGCTCAGCTTTTTTTATTTATTCTTCGTGTTTGTTTTCAGGCAGAGGAGGAGCTGAAAAAGGCTCAGAAAGTCTTCGATGAGTTGGATACTGGTCTTCAGGATGAACTGCCAACTCTCTGGGACCGGTGAGTCCAACTGCACACCTGTCAGGTTCTGTAAAACAAGGATAATAAACTAGTTGTAGGTGAGCTACAGGTATTAATTATAACCTGCTGTTGAAGGACAACACTTGTGTCTGTGTGTGTGTGTGTGTTTGTGTGTCAGTCTGTTGTTTATTTATCTCAGACATAACATCAGTATATACTGTGTACATACAGCTCTGATAAAGTTTCTATGATTTTACTTTTTACAGGTATAAGTTGGAGTAAAATGAACATTGTTGTTTTATTATATGAGCTACTGACAGCATTTCTCTGAAAGTCCAAACAAACATTTAGTTTTTATTCGCAGAAAATGAGAAGTAGTCAAAATGTAGACAAAGATGCAGAGCCTTTAAACCTAAAATAATGCACAGAAAATAAGTCCATATTCATTTAGAAACAATAATACTAATGTTTGAAGTCAGGAAACGTTCACAAATCAAGATCTGGTGGAATGGTTTCAACCAAAACCAGGGAAACTGCAGTGGTCTCTTCAGTTCAGAATGTCAGCTTTTATTTCCTGGTATTTACCTGTAGCTGTGACTTATCACAGCTTTATTACATCACAGTGTTTTAGATGAGTAGAACTATTGGAACAATTAGTCTTAAAGTGAATAACATTTAATATTTGGTGGCAGAACCTTTGCTTGTAATGATTGTTACAAGTGTGCGACCCATCAACACCAAACTGTTAATTAATTATTTATGATGCTGCTCCAGGCTTTTACCACAGCTTCTTTCAGTTCTTGTTTGTTTCAGGACGTTTGTCCCTTCAGTCTCCTCTTCAGGAGGTCAAATACTCTGTTGGCTTCAGGTCATTGACTCGGCCAATCTAAACCCTGATCAAGTCCTTTGTTTCGTTGACAGTGAGCTTTGGCTCATCGTCCTGCTGCAGGAGAAATTCCTCCTGACTAATTTGGACACATTTCTCTGTAAATTATCAGACAAAATGTGTGTGTCCTCTTCAGAATTCATTCTGCTGCTGCCATCATCAGTAAATATTACTGAGCCTGTTCCAGAAGCAGCCATGACATCACCTGSACCATGCTTCACAGAGGAGCTCATGTGCTTCAGATCATCAGCAGTTCTTTTCTTTCTCATCACTTTGGGACACGTTAATCCTGGTCTCATCAGTCCAGAAGATTGTTTTCCACAAAATTTGCAGCTCATCTCTGTCCTTCTGATTCTTCTTACTGATGGGTGGTTTGTATCTTTGTGGAAGGTCTCTATTAGGGGTGACCCGATACCGATACTGGTATCGGTATCGGGTCCGATACCAGCATCAAGTACTCGTACTCGTAAAAGCCGGCCGATACTCTTAACCGATACCGCTTTTGTCCCCTCCTGTGCTGCGCTGCACAAAGGGAACAACAATCCATACCAGGCGGGGGCGCTAACGCACTGACAAGTTATTTCTGACCGCACCCCCGAATAACAGAAGAAGAACGATGAGAAGAAGAAGAAGAAGAAGAAGAAGAAGAAGTAACGTATCGGCAGTTTGGAGATATTTAAGATCAACACGGAGGAAACAAACCAGCAGACTGTCTGCTGTGCTCTGCTAACTGTCAGAGGAGGAGCTAAAGTTGGATGTTTTAACAGCAGCAGTTTGATTCAACATTTGAGGACAAGACATGACAAAGAATTCAAAGAGTTTCTGCTGCTAGCAGTAGCCTTCATAAACAGCACTATGCTGCAGTTGTTGCAGTAACTTCAATGCTGTTTTTTCTTTCTTGTAGAACAAACTAAGACATAAGCAGAATATGGAAGGAAGTTTGTTGTAAAAACATTTTATTTTTCACTCAGGTTCTTCTGAGATTTTGTTTTAGTTGTTCCATTTAAGTTTGAACTGAAATTTACTGCACTTTATTACTATTAGTCATTTTTTTAACAGTTTAAGACTGAAGCAGAGTAAACTTCTATAGATGTGCTGCTAAAATTTACGTTTTACATTTTAATTTAAATTTGGTAGTTGCATGTTGAGGAAAATGTATAAAAAATAACTTATTTAGTTTTTTAATGTATGCAACAGCATTTGTTTTGCAGTATTTGTGTTGTTAATACATTCAGAGGGAGTGTGGCCTTATAAAAAAGAGCCTGTTTGAAATAAAATAAATGGTTTCAAAAGTTATGGTGTGATATATATACCAACTTATCTACTTGTCAGAGTTTGCACTACCTTTTTATTGTCAAACATAATATTTACCCATCAATTTTTGCATGATAATTGCATTTCATTTTCATTCTGTTTAATATTCAACAAGTTGAACAGATAATCCACCCTAACCCCGCTACTTGGTATCGGTATCGGCGAGTACCTAAACTGAAGTACTCGTACTTGTACTCAGTCTTGAAAAAACTGGTATCGGGACACCCCTAGTCTCTATATTTCTGCTCTGAGTCTTCTTCCAGCATTGGATAGAGAGACCTTCAGCCCTGCTCTGTGGAGGTTGTTGGTGATGTCACTTCACAGCTCGAACAGTATCTGTGTCCCGTAGGGATGGGTATCATTAAGGTTTTATCAGTACTACTACTCTTACTGTACTGCTTGTCCATTGGGTATTTTAACAGTCGTATTATTGGTGCTTTTCTCTTGGAATAAAACCAGTGTTTTCCAAAGGGAAGTGTTGGTGGTGGTTATGCAAAAAAAAAAAAAAAAAAAAAAGCTAGCGCACGTGACTCTGCATGTGTCAGCCTTGGTGATGCAGAATATGAACAATATTTTCATAAATTTTTTGATGTTTCATAAGAGAGGTGGGTGTGGAGGAGCGGCTGTTATTTACATTAAAATGATGAAATGTCCTGAAATTCTTGTGTGGGTGGGCTTGGATAATGGTGGGAAACACTGAAAACCAAAAACAAACTATAWATATGCAATAATTTTACTTTAGAACAATACAGAACAGAACAAAAAACACTTAATTTTTACTTACATGTGCAGTTTAAATGATCATTTTTTTAACTGCCTGTCAGGTTTGTCAGCAGGAGGAAGATGATGTTGGATGTTTTTCATGACAGTCTGAACATGACAAATCAAATTTATCCCCCAAATCTAACCCAGTTTTTTTCAGTTTGTGGGACTGAATCAGATCCATCTCAGGTGTTTTTCAGAGCGACCTGAGTCTGAACGCTTGTGTTGGATCGGTCCACTGACCTCGAGTCTTGCTCTTTAAATCTTTGTAGCTCCACACATCTTCAGCTGCAAACCAGAGGTCCGGTTCTTTACCTTTTTCTTTTAATTTGCAGGGTCCTGGATGACTGATAATCCACAGAAAAACATGATAGTAACATTGAGTCGTTGCAGATTGTATGCTGAAGTTACTGCATGGATCCTTTAGTTTAAAGTTTAGTTTTAAAGTAAAGTTTAGTTTTGACGCTACGTTCCAAAAACAAACACTTCACCAGAGCATCCAGTCTGAGACAGGTTCACGTATAAACACTGAACTAAATAATTATTTAATCAGCTCTGACTGCACAACTTCAGATAGGACATGCTAACAAGTAGCAACCTTAGGCTTCACCTGTAAACACGTGCTGAATGTGCCGTCACTTCTTACAGAGGACAGGTGTGCTCCACAGGTGGGTGGAGCATCTTCACTTGGTTGTCTCTCAGAGTTCTTTTGGGGGAAAATGTCATCCAGTTACACACTGGAAAGTGAAAACATCTTTGACATTGAACTTTTATGGAACACCTCAATATGCACCTGGGTCTGCTCCCTCTGTGGCAGAGATAATATCTTCATTGTCATCATCTTCATCCTATGAAGTGTACTGCAGTTAATTGTAAAAAGACATGAAGTATGAACCATCCTGGCATGGAGGAGTTCTGGGACAGATGACACCACAACACACGCAGTACACCATCCACATGTGATCAGGCAAAAGATGAGTGTTAAATTACACTGTAACAGTAGAAGAGGACCACTTCATCTGCTTGTACTTTGTGAAGTTACTCCAACATTGTTAGACACGTCACATTTCTTTGTTTATATAACTGCACCTTTAAATTACTTACATATTAAATATGATCTAGAGCTGGGCGATATGACCAAAATTTTATATCACGGTATTTTTAACAAATATCACGGTATCACGGTATTTTACGGTATTTTTTTTTATGCTTATCTGTGTTTGTTAAC